TGAACACACACCCAGAGCAGTGGGCAGCCAATGCTGCGGCGCCTGGGGAGCAGTTGGGGGTTTGGTTTCTTGCTCAAGGGTCTCACCTCAGTCGTGGTATTGAAGGTGGAGAGAGCACTGGTTATTCACCCCCCCCACCGACAATTCCTGCCGGACCCGTGACCTTCGGGTTACAAGTCCGACTCTCTATCCATTAGGCCACAACTGCCCCCCACGACTGCCCTGGACTCGTGTGATATTGCTTAAAGGTGTCCTATTAATAGGTGATATTAATAAGGGGAAGTCGTGGCCTAATGGTTAGAGAGTCGGACTCGTAACCCAAAGGTTGCGGGTTCGAGTCTCTGATCCGGCAGGGATTGTAGGTGGGGGGAGTGAATGTACAGGTCTCTCTCCCACCTTCAATACCACAACTGAGGCACTCAATGTATGGGAAACACTGTAGTCTCATAATTGAAGTGTAAATTCTGCAGATTATATCATTGTCCAGTATTGTACTGTCAGCAATTTATTATAAAAACGTTTTCATAATTGTAACATAAATATTTACATACAGTACATAATTATTCAGGTGCATGTGTAATAACTTGTGAAAACTTGAGGCTACAGAAGCACTTCTTCTTCTTCGTGGTCTCGTCTGATGCACTCAACCAAGCGTTCTAACCAGGACCTCGCCCCTCCCCGCCCCCCAACCATTCCAATTTCCATAGGCGGGAATTATTTTAATGATATTCTAATGAGCCGCTTTGTGATATCACAAAACCCGGAAAACAAACGCTGTAGTCCAAACGAGCCGTTCGTTGTAGTTCTTGAAAAGTGATATTTTTAAAAACGAAATATCTCCCTTTGGAGAGGACTTTGAGATTTGTAAATTTCTAGCTCTTTTTTATGTCCAAACATACACACTACACACTGACTAAAATTCAAAAAGTGAAAAAGCATAATAGGACCCCTTTAACTATATCATATGATATAAATATGAGACAAAAACCTATACAGGGCTCTTTTTTTTGCCCCATTCTCTTGAATTTTAGGGGCATATAACTGTTGCCTTGCATAATTTTCATCACCAATCAACTCAATAGGTGTGTTCGTCTTGAATTAAGCTGCGATGCACAGACCTATCAGTGTATGACATCAAAGTACCACGAGCGCAGATGGCTCTGCATGCTTTTAAATCACACTTAGAGAGACATATGGATAGGCATATAGATAGATGGTTAGATAGAAATAGATGCATTGATAGACAGACAAATAGGTAGATAGATAGATAGATAGATGTATGTTTACTTGACTGACTGACAGTACGTACAGTGCAGATCAAAATGTTATGAATATAAATGTATGTCTGAGATGAATGTAAACTTTTTGTTTTTATTTAAATGTTTTAGTTTTGAAATGTTGTTGTATGCATTTGTCATTTTTATTTAATTTCTTTTATTTTCTTAAATGTGTGTATATATATATAGTATTTATAGAGTTTTAGCTTTTAGTTTTAATTACTTTTTCTTATTTGTAAGTCGCTTTGGATAAAAGCGTCTGCTAAATGACTAAAAGTAAAGTAAAAGTAAAAGTATAGCCGCTATAACAGAGCGAGAGAGATGGACATGACAGGAAGACTGATTCACCGCTGACCACAAAATTTAGTGCCCAAATAAATTCATGTGAGTTTCTAACACATAGGCGCTGTCCTGTGTGTGTGTGTGTGTGTGTGTGTGTGTGTGTGTGTTTTTAATAAAGACATACCGTCACATTTGCCCACTGATGGACAACATTTACTTTCCTGTTAGTCATTGTGTAACTCTTTAAGTGGTAAAACACTGGTTGATTTAGTAATTTGAAGT